TATTGCTCCAGTAAAAATTTGTAGGAGAGCACCGGGCATATCTCACTTGCTTTTTGCAGATGATACCATGCTGTTTTTTCAGGCATCGAGGGATCAAGCGGGGCATGTTAAAGCATCTTTGGATCTATATAGTGCGGCCACGGGCCAAAGTTTGAACTATGACAAGTGCTCGATATTCTTTGGTGAAGCGTGCCCGGTCCCGACTCAGGAGCAGGTCAGGGATGTTCTTAAACTCACAAGTTTGGTATTTGAGGAGAAGTACTTGGGTCTTCCCACTCCCGAGGGACGAATGTCTAAAGGTAAGTTTCAAAATCTTCAGACAAGCCTTACCAAAAGATTTGTCCAGTGGGGAGACGGATATTTGGCGTAGCCGGGGAGAGAGGTGCTTATAAAGTCTGTCGCGCAAGCTTTACCCACATATATAATGGGAGTGTTCAAGTTACCGTTCTCGGTGTGTGACGATCTCACTAGAATGGTGAGGAATTTTTATTGGGGATCGGAGAAGGGGAAGAGGAAGGTTCATTGGAAGGGATGGGATCATCTTATGCAGCCAAAAGATAGAGGTGGGATCGGTTTCCGAGATTTTCGTATATTCAACCAAGCCCTTCTAGCGCGCCAGGCTTGGAGGTTGATCACAAGGCCGGATAGTTTGTGTGCTCGCTTGCTCAAATCCAAATACTACCCGACTGGTAAGTTAGAAGATACGGTGTTTGCTGGAAATGCCTCATTGTCTTGGCTGGCTATTAGCCATGGTTTAGAGTTATTGAAGAAACGTTTGATCTGGAGAATAGGCAATGGGAGAAGCATTCGGGTGTGGCGCTATAGTTGGATCCCACGACCCTTCTCGTATAAACCGATCTCAAGGCAGGGAGTTTGTCGCATTCGATATGTGTCCGATCTCTTGAATGACAATGGGTCCTAGAAAGTTCAAACTCTGAACCAATATTTCATGCAAGCAGATGTGGTGGAGATTCTGAAGATCAGGGTCTCACCCAGGCGTGGCGAAGATGTTATTGCATGGGGGCCGGACAAGTTGGGTGTCTTCTCCATGAAGAGCGCATATCATCTAGCGTTTGATGAGTTACACGGGGCCAATGCAGCATCCTCTAGTTCGTCGCCGTCCGGTGCGAGAACCTATTGGAAGTTCATCTGGAGTTGTGGAGTTCCGCCAACAGTGGCAAATTTTGCATGGAGAGTTGTGACCGATGGGCTGCCAACGTGGAAAAATAAGCATAAGATTGGATTGGAGACCACAAGTATTTGCCCAGTTTGTGGACTAGACACGGAGGACAACTTCCACCCGTTTTTGAGTTGTCAATTCGGGAGGGATCTATATTTGAACATGGCAAAAATCTGGAGATTACCTTGGCTACAGTCAATTGATAACTGTGGAAAGGAGTGGCTATTGTAGTTACTTGCACCAAGAAGTGAGATTGAGAGGTGTATGCTTCTTCTTGTTTTCTGGAGAAGTTGGTACATACGCAATGAGGTGGTGCATCATAAACCGGCGCCGCAGATGGATATATCGGTCCGATTCCTGCAGAGCTATCTTGTCTCACTGATGGCCATCAAGAATGATAATGGTGCTGATTCAGCGAAAGGAAAAGCATACATTACGATGGACAGTAGGTTTCAACCGGTTACTCATAAGGCCAAGGTGCCTAGTTGGGAGAAACCGAAGCAAGGGTGGACAAAACTAAACACAGATAGAGCTTTTGTGTCATGCGATGATGCTGGTGCGGGCATGGTCTTGAGAGATGAGTCAGGAAAAATCATTTTCTCTGCTTGTAGGACATTACAGTTCTGCCGAGATGCGCTGGAGGCTGAGCTTTATGCTTGCTTGGAGGGGTTGTCCTCATCGATCCAACGTACAGCTTTGCCGATACAAGTTGAGCTGGATTCTTCTGTTGATGTGGCTATGATCACATGTGGAGATACCGATCGATCGCTCTACTCATCGTTAGCTAATGAGATTAGAGATTTATTGAACCTTCATCAAACTTGTATTACTCTTGTCGCTCGCTCACAGAATAAGACGAGTGACAAGTTAGCTTCTTTTAGTTGTCTTAATAATAGGACTATGACTTGGATAGGGTCAGGTCCTCCTGAAGTTCTGGAGTTAGTTGCTGAGGATTGTAATGATACCTTGATTGAGTAATACAAGGTTTGAGCTCGCAAAAAAAAGTCACCGCAATGAAATTTTTGGTCCCCTCGCCTCCAGTTGCCATCTTGGCGCTGGGAGGTGGGGGAGCCGCGCATTTTCAAGAGTTCTATGTCCTTTGTCGTATTGTGATAATAAGTTTACTCTCGTTATTTTGGCAGTGCCATGAGGTTAGAGAGTTTTTTATCCTCGCATATCTGGTACTCGGATCTGATGGGTTTATGTTGGTGTGTCAAACTTTATTTGTTGGTTTGATTTTTTGTGGAGTTGAAATCTTTCATCGACACCATGGTGAAGATATTGTGATGCGACGGCCTGCACTTCTAGGGGATGATCCCCGGCCCAAGTACGTTCATCGATCAACACTTCCCATCTTTTTGTATGGTGACTCAAGGCGCTTTCAAAAACCATTTTGATAATGTTGTTGCGGGTGAAAGAGTAGCAACATCGTTGCTTCAGTTCAATTGCAGCCTCTTTACCGAAGTCTTTGGAGTATGTCTTTTAGCAGAGATTGATACAACGAAGAAGGTGTTTCTAAGGGCATCTCCAGTCGTTGGCCCCCCAGGGGGCGCCTAAAATCGCCGCCTGGGGGTGAGCCGGCGCAAAAATTGGGCCTGGGGGCGAGTTGGTCCCCAGCCGCCGGCCCCAGGGCCGCCCCCAGGCACGTTTTAAAATAAAAGAAGTTCGGCGAAGTTCGACTTAAACACGATAAATTTCGGCCAAACACGATAAATTTCGGCCAAACACGATAAATTTCAGCACATTTCGGCGAAGTTCGCGGATTTTCATTACATAGCACATATACATAAACTAATCTAAAGGAAAAACTGGCTGAAGTCGCCGCCGTCGCCGCCATCGTCGTCGTCGGCCTTCTCCTCCTTGACGCGAGCGCCCCTACTGGACTCCTGCCCGACGTCGCCATGGCGGACTGCTGGCGGCGCATCATCGTCGTTGTCGTTGTCGCAGATGACGACGACTCCGCCTTCGTCGCGGCCGCGTCGACGCTCCGCGAAGCGAAGCAGGGCGGCGCGCTAGCACTCCTTCGCCTTCTCCAGGCGCTCCTTCTCCATCGCTATGGAGTCCCTGCACGCCCATTCCAGGGCCACGTCGTCGTCGTCGAGCTCCGTCGTCACCGGCGCGGCCGGCTCCTTCTTCACGGGCTCGAGCCCCGGCTCCGTCTTCACCGGCATGAGCCCCGGATCCGTCTTTGGCTTGACGAAGCGCGGAGGAGGAGCCGACGAGGAGGCGCGCCGGCCGCCCTCGTTGATGACGATGCCGACGCTGCGAGTGCGCCGGCCGAGCGGCGTCTCCGCCGTGGGCTCGGCCTTGACGCCGAGCAGGGCCGGAGTGCCGGAGGAGTGCGATGAAGATCGGGAGGAGGAAGAAGAGGAGGAGGACCCGAACCTCCTTGGCGCCCATGGCCCGGCGCGTCGGTGCTGCGCCGGGGCGGCCGCCCTCGCCGGTACGCCAACGGCGGGTCGTTGCCGCCCTCGAGGTACGTCAGCACGCCCTCGAGTGTGCGGCCGGGGACGCCCCACCACAGGTGACGCCCAACCACCGGCGCGTCGTTGATGGACGCCAAGCGCTGTTGCTGGCGGCGCTCGAAATACGCCGCCCAAGCCGTGTGGTTGTCGGCGGCGTACTAGGGGAGGGAGAGTTGGGCGTCGATGAGGGAGGCGCGCACGACCTCGACTTCCTCGGCGAAGTACTTCGGCTTTGCCACGGCGTCGGGCAACGGGGGAATGGGCACTCCCCCGACGCTGAGCCTCCACCCCGTCGGCCCGGCGCGCATGTCCGGCGGCGCCGGGATGTTCGCCTGGAACAGGAGCCAGGACTCCTGTTCGCGGAGCGAACGGCGGCCGAAGCCGTTGGCCGCCGCCTCGTCTCCGGGGTAGCGTTCCGCCATGGCGACGAGCTCGGGAGAGGTAGAGAGATAGAGAGAGGGGCTGGGCGGCGGCGCTCGGGAGAGGTAGGGAGAGGGAGGAGCTCGGCAGCGGCGAGGGGCGGGGCTGGTGTGGGCACAGGCGAGTGCAGGCCACCGGCTATATAGCCGCGCCGCACCCGTGTGTACGCGTGCGAGGGAGGGGAGGCGTCGGCGCGCTGTCCCGTGACGCGCCGCCTGTGAGAAATCAATGGCAAGGCTGACCGGCGGCAGCCTTGGCATTGATTCCCCACGGGAACCGAGGCCGTTGGGGGAAGACGAGGCGTCGTGTCGCTGACGCGGCGGGCCCGCGGCTGTTTCGCGCCAAAACAGTTCGCCCCGGCGCCCCCGGGCGCCCCCCAGCGCGCCGGGTTCGGCCTAGGTCCGCCGGCGCTGTTTTCGGCCCAGGCCGGCGAAAATCGGGCTCCTGGGGGCGCGACTGGGCCTTTTTTTGGCGCCGGCGCGAAAAAATCGCCTGGGGAGGCCTTCCTGGTACGCGGCTGGAGATGCCCTAAGAGATTTTATTGTAATTCTTAGTCATAGGAGTTACTCTGTATTTTTTATCTTAAATTCAAATCAGTGTATCCGTAATTGTTATGAGTATGAATAAAATTAGAAGTGTTTTTTTCAAAAAAAACTGTTATTTCCGGACCTGGTGGACAGCTGGCGTCTCTTGGTTCCTTTCTTGGCCATGTACGAGCACGCATCCGAGCACCGGTCCGTTGTTCCTTGCTAAACATAGAAGACATTCTTCGTCCTTGCTTGCTTGTGTAGGAGACGATGCTCACACACTCGCATGGCCCACATGACACGGACGCCAAGAGCAAGTATACGTGCATATACTTCAACATTTCTCTTGCACAAGCGCGCGCCCTGAACCCAACGCCCCATACCAAGATGTCCGAGGCACGGTCCGTCATGGACGCGGCTCCCGGCGGCGACACCGCGCCAACAGCCACCGGTCACGGTCTGCATGGCATCCCCGTGCTCATCACGCCTTTCCACCAGCCGGGCGGCGCCGCCGCGTCGACGGAGGCGATGCGCACGGCGCTCCAGGGCTTCCTCGTCCTCCAGGGGCAAGGGCAGGGGGAGGCCAAGGAGGACGAGCGGAAGAAGTGGTTCAGGGAGATGCGCGGGTGGCTGATGGTGCTGGCGACCGTGGCGGCGTCGGTGACCTACCAGGCCGGCCTGAACCCGCCCGGCGGGTTCTGGCAGGACACCAAGGAGGGCCCCGGCGGGCACCGGCCCGGCAACCCGGTGCTGCGCGACGAGCACTGGGTTCGGTACGTCATCTTCTACTACTTCAACGCGACGGCGTTCGTGACGTCGCTGGTGATCATGGTGCTGCTCATGAGCGAGCGGTTCTACCACGGGGAGGCCAAGGTGGTGGCGCTCATGCTCACCACCTTCGTCGACCTCGCCAGCCTCGTCGGCGCCTACATCGCCGGCACCACCCGCTACGCCACCTCCTGCGTCTACATCGTCGTCATCACCTGCGTCTCCTTCATCTGCGTCGTCTACATCGGAGAGTACGTAGCCACACATCTTTATCCATATTGCATACATACATGCAATATTTATAAATGTATGCGATGTTCTTGCAGGGCGATGGGGGAGATATGCGCCTTCGTCCTGAAGAAGATAAAGTGCATGCGTAATCTGGCGAAGCGGAAGTGGTTCCCGGTGCCGGCGGGTGTGGTGACGAGATCGCTGCCGGACGAGGAGGCGGAGGAACGCAGGAAGAGAGCGGCGAGGAGCAACCGCCCCACTTGCTGCCTGTGCTGTGGGCAGTCACCGGCGACGTCTGATAGGCGCGACGTGGAGGTGCAGTGATCCGGTCGACTAAGCTGTTTGCCATGCACGTTTCATCTCTAGCTTCTTCGTGTTCTCAGACTGTTCATATGTCTTTGGTTTTGTTGCTGGTTAGTTGTTTCGTTGCCAAGATCTGTGCGTGTCGGTGAACTTGTCGGTCTCTATAAAGGAGCGATTATATTTAAGTGGCCTGATTTTTAATTAAGTCTATTTTTCACTGTATATTACTAGTTGTTTCTTCTCTATATACAAATGAGATGTGCATTTTTTACACGTATCTATATTTTGCAAAAAAAACTTATTAAGGACATGATGTTTGATGTCCAGTAGTGTTATCTAAATGCTCTTATATTTCTTTACTAAGGGAGTATTTAAAATGGTTGCATGTGTGAACAGATTAAATTTAATTTTCAGAAACGAAGATAAGGATGAATCTAAACTATAAATTTGCATGATACTCTATGTACTATGAGTTGACTCGCTAATAAGCATAAAATCATCTCTTTTTTCTTATTAATATTGCATACATATTCATTGTAAACTGAAGGAAACCTGAACAAAAAACAAACTTTATTCTAAGGTGGAATGAATTAAAGGCATTGGTATCCTGAAGAAAAAAATGAAGAAAAAACTCAAAACAAAGGATAACAAAAACTTGCACGTGTTGCATAGAACTTGCACTATTCCATAGTATGCAAAACCAACCATATAGTAGTGTAACTTTCGGACGATGTGATTTGCACACGGATTATATGAAATATGCATGTACACATCCATATTTGTACTCAATATTCAAACAATTAAACAACAATGTTGGAGATTAATCATCTATCGACACGATGAATATGAACTGCACCTCATGTCACCTTCCCATCTCTCTCACGCATGCATATACATCCACATACATACACACATGCATGGTTCCCCAACCCACATGTGTGTGCGCACAAACACATACGGGTCCACGGGTCCAGTACACA